CCGTTTATTATTAACAAAAAGTCAAATCAAAATAATTTAACATAACCTACACAGTAGAACAGATCTTCCAATGCGCTTGAAGGAGGCACAGTTCCCAAGATACTGGCTACGTTGCCTCGTTGGACAGCCACATTCACTCTCTGTGCAAAGTACCAGCCAGCCTTAGCATCACGTGTAACCTCCTTCAAGCGTTTGGAGATTTCTGTTAAAAAATGTTATGTATTTAATGTGTTATAATATTATATTTTAAAATGAATTTCACCCTTTTTCACAAATACGTTTCTCTTTAAAAGTGTTTACTGTTGCATAAAAAAATTAAGTAGGTACATAATTATTTAACTGCATGTAATGATTTATTTTGCTTATTTTATTTGTGTCTGATAAGTATAAATTTAGTGATAAGAATGTTCCAACATTGTGATCGAATCTTTGTTTTGGTGTTTTCATTACTACCTGACATATATCGTTTATATAAGCTGGCTTCCTTCATAGTGCCAAAGCCAATAGATATGTGCTATATTTGTCAAATGAATTAAAACAAAAACAGGGCTTTATCTTAACTCAACTTACTGTCAATAACACACTGATCGACTAGTGATGCGTAATTTCCTACCGTAGATACAAGTAAGGCTCGTATACTGGGAATTTTCCGAATTCTTAGGATCAATGTAGTGTGAGTAATAATAAAATTTATTTAGCTTCCTGTTGTTGAATTCGGTTTTCATTGTCTCTGATGAAACTTTGTGTAACACGTAGGTACGTAATGTGAATATTAGAACATCACGAATTAAATACGACAGACAACAGAAATTGTATAAAGTACCTATCTACTTTTTTGCACGTTTAAGAATCGGACTGTGTTGATCTCAAATAGTACTGCTTTTTCTCCTTGAATATTAATACATTGAAGCATATTTGCTTCATTTCTTCCCTTGCCATGTAGGATACCAATATGATACTTAATTAAACCTACTTTTACGGTTCAATCTTGCGTTTATTATTTCCATTCGTTGGAACTAATATTATATAATGTAAAATAAAATAAAATGCGAGATTAAGTCGTAAAAGTAGTTTTAATAATGTTTATGATTCGGAAAACCGAAGAAAATACTATAATGTAATGAAAACTTTTTAGTCAGTAAACTACGAACGTATTTTATGAGTCAATAACATAAAGATCAGTGTTCATTAAATTATGTAAAAAAAATGCTGGTTGATACAGGTGATTACGAAATTTCGAACGAGACTCTTTCAAAAGGTAGTTTCAGTTTGGCCGCTGTTGGATTTTTCAGATACTTGAGGACGAAATTACAAGAAAGTAATTTTTAAAACCTATTCTTTTTTTTAATGTTTAGATGGGTGGACGAGTTCACAGCCCACCTAGTGTTAAGTGGTTACTGGAGCCCATAGACATCTACAACGTAAATGCGCCAATCACCTTGAGATATAAGTTCTAAGGTCTCAAGTATAGTTACAACGGCTGCCCCACCCTTCAAACTGTAATGCATTACTGCTTCACGGCAGAAAAAGAGCAGGGTGGTGGTACCTACCCGTACGGACTTCCAAGAGGTCCTACCACCAGGGATTACGCAAATTATAATTTTTGCGGGTTTGATTTTTATTACACGATGTTATTCCTTCACCGTGGAAGTCAATCGTGGACATTTGTTGAGTTCGTATTTCATTAGAAAAATTGGTACCCATCTGCGGGATTCGAACACCGGTGCATCGCTACATACGAATGCACCGGACGTCTTATCCCTTAGGCCACGACGACTTCTACGACGTAAATGCGCCACTCACCTTGAGATATAAGTTCTAAGGTATCAAGTATAGTTACAACGGCTGCTCCACCCTTCAAACTGTAACGAATTACTGCTTCACGGCAGAAATACGCAGGGTGGTGGTACCTACCCGCGCGGACTCACAAGAGGTCCTACTACCAGCAATTACGCAACATATATCTCAACATATATCTTTTTTATCATGTTTATTATCATTTAATGTTCTTGATTGTTTGCTAATATAAGCCACTAAATCAGCAAAAAAGCCTAACATACTTTTACAATACACATTACTTTTTGCGTTTAAAATTTCTTCGCAAATACAAAACTGTTCACGCAAATTAGAAATAGAACGAACATTTTCTTCTGATTATAAAGCATCTAGTCTAAACAAATGATCTGAAAATACTATACGATCAAACGCCAATGACTTGTTCACAAAGTCGCGTCCTTGCCGTTAATGATGAATTTCCGGAGCAATACACATGGGTACTGTCTATGTTTACACAGTATCTCTATCACTAGATACAGCTTCATAAAACGTGACTTACAGGTATAATGACATATATGTATGTATCTTATTTATTTTATTTTTAAGCAAAGGATTAAATACTATAAGTACATATTTCATACTCATGCTAACAGTTGAATTTTGGAATAAACTATCTGTTAGTTCTACCTGCAACTTCGCTCGCGTTTTTCCCGTGGGAACGAGATGTTTCTTCGTCATAATATAATATAGTCTATTTCACTCTACTGACATAACAATATCACTTTAAAAAAACAATGCCCAATCTTTGTTTCATTTTGATTCGAAAGGAGGATACTTAACTTGTTATTCACTAAACACACTTCTAAATTTTACTTTATTTGTAAAAGTATGGAGTATCTATAATTGAGCCAACAAGTTAACACCATACAAAAACAGTACATTACATTAATGAGCGGTTTTCCTTATCGACGTAATTTCAGAGGTTTTGATACTCATAGTCATTATTGTAAATACTAACAAACCGGCGTTAAAAGCAACTAGGGGAATTCTAATTTTAGAATGTTGGCAAAATGCCATAGCAGCACCATCGGGGCTCAGAATTGGAAGGGAGTCGTATCTCACATGTATTATGGCTTAGTGTGGGAACCATGATTTAAAATAACCAGATCATTTGAAAAATTCATCTGAATCAACAATATAATTTTAATTAGGTATATCTGTTATATACATTATGGGTGCTTTTAAAAAAGTGGTAACTGCAGGCTGCAACTTGGCTGTGCTACTAGTTTTGTTGATGTCCATCAGTGACAGTGACTACTTACAAGAAAAATGGGTAGGATCCGGTCCATTTGACGGTTGGTGCTCACCACCACTCATGGCCAAGCCTTGCTTACAGGCTACCATTAAGACCCAAGTCCTAATTATTAGGTTTAAATTTTCTGAAGAAATTAACTCCCTGTCATTCCATAGTTTAATTTTTTTTAATTATAGATATGACGAAACTTGTTTTATTCTGCCTCTCCTCTCTCTGCCTTGAAAGTTTTGTTAAGAATAATTTCCATCATTTCCTTCTTCAAGTGGTATTCCCATATTTCAAATAACTGATTAGTTTTGAGTTCTTTGATAAGACTCATAAAGCTTTCTTATAGCTTTAATTAAGCAATTCAGTTACACAGCAGCTCAAACTCAGAACTAGTGTAAAGCTGTTAACTTATTCTGAAATTGCACTAATCTGGACGACATTGCTTAACAAATTTGCTCCCCCACATTAACTGCAACAAATTGCAGGATATTTCAATTTTCCACTTGGAAATATCACCACTATACATCCTTGTCATGGAAGTGATCCAATCACATCTTATTATTGGTTTTAATTGGTCAAACTCTCAGAAGGAAATATTCTTTGATTTAGATATTTTAACTTATAAATACTGGGAGTAAATAACAGTATTTCTGAAGATGAACTACTATACTAATAATATAAACAAAAAACAATATTAGTTTATCAAGCTAATCATAAATAGTTATATTCTTAGTAAGTTTTCTTTTGTTATCTCTTAATGGTGGTACTCTTTGCTGGATATCAAAATTTTTAAACCTTAAGGTTCCAAGATCCCAATAGGCCTTATGTTACAGGCAAACAATACATGCAATTAAAACTACTTTCAGAGTTTCATTTTCCATTTTTATTCTGCTAATATTATTTCTGATGTCTGAAATACTTTAGTTTTCATGGACCAACAGAATGAAGTGTTTATTGTCGACATTCAAATATTGTATTTTTAGTTTACTAGTAATAATGAAACAATGACAAAAATTAACACAAGTTTAAACTGTAAAGGTTGCTTTTTTACTGGTGGTAGGACCTCTTTATGAGTCCGCATGGGTAGGTACCACCACCTTGCCTATTTCTGCCGTGAAGCAGTAATACGTTTCGGTTTGAAGGGTGGGGCAGCCGTTGTAACTATACTGAGTCCTTAAGAACTTATATCTTAAGGTGGGTGCTGCATTTACATCATAGATGTCTATGGGCTCCAGTAACCCCTTAAGACCAGGTGGGCTGTAAGCTCGTCCACCCTTTTAAGCAATAAAAAAAAAGCTTTACTTATGTCTGTGACTTAGGAAACTACTATAAAATGCATACAAAATGTATTACATACATACAATGCAGGGCATATTGTGAGCTTGGATATGTCTTGTGATTTAAAGTCTATGATGCCATGCACAAATACAGACAAGACCTCAATTTCAATCTGAAGGTACCGGTTGTTGAATCAAACCTACTTTATAGTTTTTATACACAACTCTGTTTTATTCTTTTACTTGTCACTTCGACTTTGTCAATTCTCTCCCCATAATAATAAAATGTTAATTGTTTTACTTTAATTATCGTTTATTTTAAAATCCACAACACCGGTCACCAAATATTAATACATAGTCTCGTAATATTGTCACTGGGCCTAATTACTACTATTTTATTATTTTAATAGTTAATCTCGTTTTTAAAATATTCTGTTTGTGATAAAATATTTTTTTACCGACTTATAATGAAAATAAGGAATTGGTGTGAGTCACTTCCTTTAGTAATTTTATTATAACATTACCATGTTGCAAAAATTTTCCTATTCAATAAAACTTGATTTAAGAGTAGGTACGTTACACATTTATGTAATTTGTAAGCTTAAATAGAAAAAAAAAGTAAAAGCACAAAATTGAACACTTACCTTGTGACAAGATCCCTTTAAGACGAAACGTGAACTTCCAAATCCAATATTTCAACAATCTACTTTTGTTTCTAATCTACAAACAAGGTCAATCTGAATTGTCAGTTCATCAGGAAAGGATACTTGTAAGGAAAACGTACCTAATCACTGAACTGGCATAACGTTAGCGTTTTATGTTATGTTCATTAGTCTGTTCGAAGTGAACAAACTGAGAAAAAAACATGAATGTAATAATTGCGATTTAATGTTTTGAATGAATGTTTTGATATTATGATAAAACTGGTTGACATTTGACTGCAGGATAGCTTATTACTTTACTTGTAGGATAGACAGAGATGGCTAAATTAGTCGGAAAACATCTGTGTCAGGGTAGATTTAAAAAAAAACTCAGCGACAGAGATTTGCATTTTTTAAACTTATTTTTGGCCTGGGAATAAGTCTTTTGAGCCATTTGCCCTTAATTATAACAGAAAATATACTGACAAGAAGTCTAAGACAAGAATAATTGAAAATAGGACATATTATTGAAAAAATTTAGCAAAGGAGTTGCCTAAGCTGTTGCACCTAGAGTCGAGAGTTCAATTCCCACATCGGACAAACATTAATTGTCTGGGTGTTTATTCTCTATGTATATATTCTTATATATTATAATATTAGTATGTATGTCAGTCTCTGGCACCTATAACTCAGAGAATTCTAATTTGAGGCCGGATGACCGAGTGTCACTGTTTCCCGGATATAAAAAAAGAGACGAAGATATTTAATTTGAGATTTTTATCAATTGGGATACAATTATTAAATTTTAATGAAACGAGAATAAAGTCTTAGTAAATTGTGGTTATATATTGAGACGTTTTAGAAGAACTCGTGGAGCTCCATCTAGTGCGGATTGTTTCATTTTTCCGTATCTGTGCATTTTCATTAAGCAGCTAACAAACAACTGTTATTACATATTTAAACCTGAAGAAACACTAAATAACAAAATAATTCACACAACTATGTTCCTTGCGTTTCTATTAAAAAGTTTCCTCTTTTTGCAATGAAATGACAACATTGTCATTTAACATATACCTACACTTTTTTTAATTTTAATTTGCATTATACTCTTTTTTAATGCAATTCAGCAAATGTAATTGATGCTCACTTGATGGGAAATGGTTATTTGGATTAATTATAAGATATAATAAGTTATAAGATATAATAAAAGACACTCCATTCATTTATTGTTTTAGATGGTTTCATGATTTAACGGCCTACTTGGTGGTAATTCGTTCCTAGAGCTTACAGCATCAAAATATTCTGGAGCTTAAGATGAAACCTGCATTAAAGAATCGCCGAATGAGCACCTCATGTGTTGGGATTGTGGACTGACACGTTGATGTTGAACCTACTAAGTATGAAGGTTAGAAGCAAGGAGCACCATCACACTGTATTAAAAAGTATTCGCTGAAAGGGAGGCAACTAAAGTGGCACCATAGTAGCAACTCGAAAGATTTAAAAACAACGCTTTAACCTAAAGTAGGATATAACATTAAGAAGGAAAGAAACACTTTATTTTAATTCTTTTTATATACTCTACTGGTGATAAAGCGAGTGATTTGCAATTACATATATGCCACACATATTACGATTCGACAGTACATCTTTTTTTAAATTTCTGTTTGAATGGGTGAACGATCTTCCGGCCCATCTGATATCTGATTTTTAGTGGTTACTGAAGCTTAGTGACGTCACGACATGAATTTCGCCACCAACTTTGAGACGTGAGCCTCAGTTGTATAGTATTTAAGACGGTTGTCCCACCCTTTCATGCTAAACACATTACTGCGTTAGAAACAACAGGGTGTTGTTAGCAATCAATGCGAGCTCATATTATTATGAAACCATATCACCAGTAGTTATGCAAATTTTAATTTTTATAATTACGTTTTTTCTTTCCTGATTTTCATCATTAGGATTGTGGCGGGTAGCCATCATACAATACAAGATAATTGACAGATGCCTGAATCTCGCTTACGACATTTTCAAGCTAAAGCGCATATATACAAGTTCCGAACAACAACATTAGGACCGTCGGTCTACCGAGCAATATCACCCGCTCGGTGAAAGATCTTCCCTTTGTCGTTAAACTTTCCAAACTGGTGACCTGCGATGGAACAATTGCAGCCTCCACACTTCATCATCAGCGCATCAAGAACTTCGGCTACCACAATTCCCGCATTCTTGCAGATAAAAGCAAGTCATCGACAGTCGTCCCACAGCAAGCCAGCATCGCAGCCTTAACAGGACCATCGCAGCCGACTCACCGCGCTTCCTGGTCCTACGGCACGCACCTACACTGCCTCATCAAGCTCAGTCTCGACTCACCGCAGACGTCGAGTAGCACTGGCGACAATCACGCAGCATTTAAGCTCAGTTTCACTCACCGCAAACTTCGAGCAGCACTGGCACTTGCATGCTAATCCCAGCACGGACAACGCTAACTAAAATGACACGACCTCCGGTCTCGGAGGATAGTGATGTAGCGGGTAGCCATCATACAACGCAAGATAATTGACAGATGCCTGAATCTCGCTTACGACATTTTCAAGATAAAGCGCATACATATATACAAGTTCCGAACAACAACAACATTAGGACCGTCGGTCTACCGAGCAATATCACCCGCTCGGTGGAAAATCTTCCCTTTGTCGTTAAACTTTCCAAAAGGATTATTACAGGTTTAAGCTTCTCAATTCTAATGATCATTAATATCCAAATTTGCCTAAATTTAATCCGATCTCTGTTAATTTACCTACTTAGTTAAAACATTCATTTAAAAAATCACACAAGTAGGTACACTACTAATTAGATAATAAGTTTTTTATAAATCGACGTGGCAATTAAAATTTACTTTTAACTATAATTTTCTTTTTGGCTGGCAAGGTGGATATCAGTAGGTACTAAAATATGTACATACATATTAAACATGGCTGCCTTTGAGCTAGCAAACTGTTTGGTGTTTACACAAACTTGTGTGCCAGAGTCAAGTGAGGCAAAGAGTTTAAAAGGATCCATATTCTTTGAGCAGGAGGTTGCGATCGTTCTCGAAAAAACATTTTCGTTTTAAGCGAGAATCGTTTATTTCAAAATATTTTTCGCTAGTTCTAATAACATGTGATCAATCTCAGTGTCTTAGGGAATCTTATAGATATTGGTCTGGTAACATACACACAAACATCTGTTATATTTTCTATAGAATATGATATTATATACAATACAATAAAGCAATACAATGTAATATATCAAGCTTAGATGGAGAAAGCTTTATTTATAAACGTGGATAATACAGGATCTATTTTCCGTGTCTTGCCTTTACGCCTTTACTTCGAGAGTTACCTTAAATACGACTCTAAGAGATTAAACACGATGTCAGAACAAATCTGTTAGTGGTAAAACGTCTTATGAGCCCGCATGGTTACGTACTATCCTGCCTATTTCTGCCGCGAAGCATTAAAGCGTTTCGGTCTGAAGGGTGGGGCAATCGTTGTACTATAGAACTGAAACTTCGAATTAATGTCTCAAGGTGGGTAGCGGCATTTACGTTTTTGGTATTAATAAGCTTCAGTGACCTCTTAACACCGTATTATCGGCCGTGAGACGAGTGAACGATAGTACTATGCAACTTAAAAAAATCAGTAATACCTACGTATGATACATCATGTTCCCGCGGCTTTCCAACAGTGGAAATATATGATGGCTCCTCTTCACAATCTGCCATGATGGGCGATTATAGATACTCACGATAGTGTAGAGGGTATAAATGTCTGTGATCGGCCATCATCGTGTATGATCGTGCACAATCGGCGTTGTGTCGGTAGATCAAAGGAACGATGGCCCATGATTGTGTGCGTGTCCACACCATCTCCTCGATTTCCATCTTCGATACCCAGACGTCTTAACATATCAGTAGACAGTCAGTAAATGAACGTTCACGATTGTGTGGAGAGTTGCCCGATCATGGCGGCCATGTTGGACGATCATTTGTCGGCCCATCATGGCCGATTGTGAAGAGGAGCCGTGATGCCAATGTTCACATTGTCACACACAGCTCAGTGTTTACCATAGATTAAACACTTATAGGTAGTATGTACTAGGCACCGACATTATCGTTTGAGCCTTCGTCACTCAGACGTGTCGTTAAGAATTTCGTCAACCTGTACAAAAAAGTATTAGTGACAGCCCACTTAGTAAAAAGGCCTATTTTCAAACATTGTGCTGAAAAATTATTTATTTTAAATATGTATAAGAAAAGTTAAAAAATAAATCATCAATACTTTCTGTTGTTTTTTTAATGTTATATAAGATAAAAATTATGTTATGTTAAAACAGCTTTATTCTTGCCGATTCATAAGTTCCTATTGGGAAAGCGTAATACCATAGTTTCTTTAATAATGTGTCAGGTATTAATTAACAATATCTTTGGACGGCACCATTCATCATCTTGTTTGATATCATAGCTTAGTCATCGTTAGAAATACGATTTGGTTCCCTTTAATTTAGTTTCTTTCTTTCAGCTCGCAGTATAATATTAATAATATCCTATATTATTATATTATATATATGTCAGCACACGTCAGGGATGGCTGAGCGGTAGGTTCCGTCATCGCTTGTATTCGATTGAACTCAGTTTAGTCAATAAAACTTTTCAGTAATAATTATTGAAACTCAACACACACAACTTTCACAATGACAGGGTAAACCGACAGTTTCGTTGCATATACCGACAGACCGACTGACCGACTGACTGACTGACAGAGACTCACTGACTGAGACGGACGGAATTACTGTCTGACACGGAATGCCACGACTCTGTCCACGTACCGCCATTTTATACTGTGGCGTTACGGAGTCTACCCTTCGTTTTGTGATATTTTATCAAAACAACATTTCATCATTTAAAATAATAATCAAAACCACCGTCTTAATATTACTAAAAGTCGTTATCCACGACA